GGGGGGCGTATGGCTTGTGTGGAATGGATCGAGTTATTTATCGAGTGAGATGGGGTATCAAATGAGTGGAAAGTATCGTACCATGGCTGGTCAATCATCGGGCAAGCGAGAAGGCGACACCAGAGTGGGATGGATATAGTATGGTTCAGTTACAATGGTTTATAGGAACGAATAAAGAGCCAGATTTAACTTGAGAGAAACTGAAAAAGTAAAGGAGTATATAGGAGGTGAAGCAAAGAAGCCATGAGTACATCAAAATCAACACCCCCGCTTCCAGAAAAAAAGACAAAAAAAGACACCACTCCCTTCTATCTGCTTTACCACAAATAGCACTACTTTTTAAACCCTCCAACAACATCCGCCACTAAAAACTCCATCTCTAGACCCGACTCTTTGTACACCGTCTGGACCAAAATCTGCGTGCGCCGGTGCACCTCTATAAATTCCTTCTCTAGCGCGGCTAGGATGCGCTCCACCAACACGGCATCGTCATCCCCGCCATCCGTAGAAAAATGCTTGTCAACCCTCTTCCTCAGCGTCTCAATGCCACGGCGTATTTCCTTCCCGTCGTGGTGCGCTAGCACCTTCTTGAAGACTTGTCTCGAGTGGGATTGGCGTGAGGGAATATCGTCCGCGCCGCTCCGCTGCAGGACTTCTACCCCCTCAACGTAATCTAAAAGTTTGCCCAACGGGCGTCGGATGACGGAGGAGGTGTAGAGGCCAAGGTGCTCGGCGAGATCGCGCTCGGCGCGGGTCTTGAAGAGCGTGAGTACGGGGTTTGTAGTGTTCAACGGGAGCTCTTCTAGGTAGTGATGCATGTTCTCGATCATCATTATGTGATAGTTTAGCTGTTCCTTGTCTTCTGGGTCGAGACTGGAGTTTGCAACTGTCGGGCTTTCCTTTGCAATTGCGTGCAGAGATTCAAACATGGCTTTGTTAATACGCTCGTAGCCGTCATTTACTAGGTCACGGATGTCAAGGTCGGCGGAGGACCCGGGGACTTCGGTGGGCAGTTGATCTTCGATTCTGCTAGCAAAAGACTGTGCGGGATGTTAGTGTAGAACCTTCGAAATGGTCCAGGGGCGGTCACTTACTGGGAACACTTTCATGAATGGAATAACGCCCTTTCTCTTCTTAATCTTAACTTTTGTCTCTTCAATGGCCTTGACCTGATCATCCAAGAACCTGGAAAACAACCCCGCAAGACGATCATGCAATTTCTGCAGCATCTTGAGCAAAAACTCCTGGTCCGTACCCAGAAGAGCTGCCATTTTCGTTTCAAGTGCATACATCACTCCAACGCCCTGTAAAGGATCCGTTCTAATGGCCCACTCAACAAGGCTCTGCAAATCCTGAGGCAAGAACCCGAACAACCCCGTCATAAAGTCCGACACCATCTTCGCCTTTGCCTTGTCCGCCTCAACAGGCCTCAACCCGCCGATATCTCCAATCCTCCGGTGCTCCGCCGCCGGTGAGTTTGCGATAAACTCGGAAAAGTCTTGCGGCGGCTGCGATGACATTCGGAAGAACTTGACTATGAAATTCTGCTCCCTTAGTACTAGGTTATACGTCTCTGCCAGGGTTCCTGCAAAAGCCTCATGTGAATTGATAATTCCGTCTTGATTCTTGTTCTTAGAGTGGTCGCCGGCTGGTGACCTGATCTTTGCCAAGGTTTGCGACCGTTTGACGGTTAATTTTCGGGCGGCCGTTACAGCGACTCTGTCAGTCTCTTTCTCTTGTGCAGTGAAGACTGTTCTAGCGTTAGCACCTAAAAATTTGCCCCTGATGTAGGCGGGTAATTTACGTAGATCTACTTCGTCTAAGATGGGCTTTTTGGTGATCCTTTTCCACGCCAGCACGTGCTCCCTAAATTCGTCTTGAAATAAGCCGGAGACGGGTTTCTCGTAGAGTTTTTGCAGCCCGTAGTATTCCTCCAAGTCGACGTCTTTAGCAAAAGCAACTAATCCAGAGAATTTGCAGAGTGCGGTATAGGCGCTATCATGCCCCAGCAGCTTTGGTTGTCCGGGGCTCATCGGACTGTTTTTTGAGTTCTTTGCAAGCTCGACGACTTCCGCCCCAAATTTAATGGTCATGAACTGCTTCATTCTTGCCAGGAATGACTGGGTATCCTTTTGATACCCCTCCTTTCGCTCCTGAAGAGCCCTCATAGATCCAATGCCCTCATCGCTCCAGGAACCTCTTCGGCCATCCCCGACAGGCGACTCGGGTGCATTTCGCGCCATCTTTGGGTCAATGGTCGTCATCGCTTTATAAAGGGCGAGCAGGGTATCCTCAATAGACTGGAGAGCTTGAGGAGAGTCTAATGATCCATATTTGAGCACTTCAAGTTGTTGGGGTCCAATGGATATGGTAGACATAAGATTCTGGAGTTCACGCTGCAAAGTCTTTTGGTTGGCGGTTTGGACCTGGAGACCTTGGGACTGATTTTCGATGTGAGAAATGTCATCATTTAAACTCTATATATTTGTCAGTCTGAATGCATAGAAGGGGGGGGGGGGTTGGAGATCTGTGCTCACGGTTAGTTCAACGGCATACAGAGTCAACAGTGAATCCATCTCATCGCATTCCTGGATCGCCCTATCAAGGAGGTTGGATAGCTCTTCAATCCTAGGATCGCCATCAGTATTCACAATAACATCCTTAGCCTCCACCTCCGCAATCTCTTTGCGAATCTTTGACTCCAAAGCATCGACCTTTCCCTGCGGATCCCAGTTGAATTCATTCAGCAGCTCCTCAATGTCAACAGTCACCCGCGAAGTATCTACATCACTCAGGAAAGAGGATTTGACCGATCTACGCTTCCTGCCCTTAGCGATTGGCGATCGTGATCTACTCCTCCCACCCTGCTCGCCACCATCACCTGAACCATCTGGTGACGCGGACCCGCCTGAACCTGTAGGAACTTCCAATGAATCATGTTTTGCCCGGCTAGGGGACGCATTTCGTGGCGTAGAGGAAGGCAACATGGAAGGTTTATCTTTAGATGCAAGAGTGACTATCCGAACTTCGTTCCTTAGCAGCGGCTCCATCTGCTCCCCCGGAGACCGCTGGTTATATGGTGGCGGGAGGTCACGAGCTCTAGGGGGTGAACGTCTACGCTCACCCGGCGCACCTGCAACACCGTATGGCCCATTCCCTCCACGTGTGTCCCGATCCCTGCGCTCTTCAGGATATTTGATCTTTGGCACCTCCTCCTGCCTACCCGGATCCTGAGAGGGCGTTCTGGACATGGAGGTCGGCGTTGTAGGAGTTTTCGGTCTTTGTCTTCGGTCTCCCATCACTCCTCCTGCAGCGTATGTGTTTGCCGCCAAACGGAATTGCGACGCTACGTCCTTGCCGGACTTTTTCTTGACTGGACTACGTGCGTCAACCAGTGGAGAAGGCTCGGGAGGAGCAGCTGGAGGAGGTAGCCCTCTATTGCCGCCGCCGTAGGGGTACTGCTCCGTAGCCTCTCGCGATTGGTGGCTAGAAGCGGACGGAGTACGAAGCATTCTCTCGGACGATGGCATAGGACGAATTCCCCGTTCGTCCTCTACAGGAGCTCCCCTGGTCCCTGACCGATCTCTACCAGATCTTGAAGATCCATTTGATGGCCGTCTTCCTGGTCCCTGCGGAGGTATCGGGGGAGGTGGGGGATCGCTGAGAGCTACGCCTGAAGCAGCCGAGTACGCTGAACCTCCGGATATATTCCGGCTCCCGGGGGCCAGATCGGGAGGTCTCCTACTAGTTGGAAGCTGGTCGCTTGACTGCGATGGCCGTAAAACGCCGGGGCCAGCGCGAAGTCCATCGATCCCCTTATTTCTTGGTGATGGTTGCCTTCCCGGTGATGTCATATTATCCATAGAGACAGCCGAGGTAAGGTTGCGAAGAGGTGCCGGTTTGAGTGACGAGGGAAACTGTGATGGACCCTGGGATATAGGCGAGGGACCGGACGGCGAAACCCCCCCCGCATCATCCCTCTGACCTTCCTGCAGAGAAGCCGCACCACCCAGCAACTTGTCAACCTCAGTCCCCCCAAAACCGGTCAACTTTGGAATTTTTCCGCCCGTGTACTTTTTGTAAATCTTAAGCAGCGACGAAATAAAGAAATCCTTCTCTTTGCTCGAACTGGCCTGCCAATAGTAAGGCTTAATGATGGTGACGGTGAATCCCTTCTCGAACGGCGGAGGGTGGTTTTCTATCTCGGACAAGTCATCCAAATTCCATGTCTTTCCAATCTGGAAGGCCCCGTTCGGATTCTCGCGAGCTTTGTGCATCCGAACTCGCCCGGTCTTCCGCACGGCAACGACAATCACCCGGGACTTCTTCTGATCGTGAGGGCCATCCTCTGGCGGTGGGGAGGATGGGGAGGCCCCGTCCTCGATAACTTTGCAGTGCGTGATGTAAGATTCTAGGACTAGTGCACGCGAGCGGGAAAGAGAGCAGCAGCGAGCATTAGTTCATCCGCGCACAAGTAGAGGAGAAGGACAGCCATCAACGTACGAGCACCGTCGACATCGGGTTTCGAAAAGCATGAGGCGGTGATCCGCTTCTTCTCGTCCTCAAACTGTCGAGCTTTGGCGTGTGCAGCTGAGGGAGGAGGCCCAGGGGCTGGGGCTCGGTTCGGTTGAAGGTGGTCTCCCATGGTGGCGGCGGGGCCGCCTGTGGGTTGTGTGGGGAAGGCGGGAGAGGGCGTTGCTCGAGTGTCGGGAGGGGAGGAAAAGGGAGCTATCTCCAGGGAGGGGCAGATCTAAGAGACTCTATGTGGGTGGAGTGGTATGTGGTCAGGCTTCGCAATTCAATGTCGGAGGTTGCAACAGAAGCATCCCCTAAGGTATGGTAATAGGTAATGCCCCGGGCAGCCAACCCAGCCCCTAGGGCCCGACAAAAGGTTGGGGTGATCATGAAAGTGAATAGGATGGAACAATGGCCCTTGGAGTGAGATAGCATTACACGAGATTCACAGTAAATGATGGTTTAGTGATGGCTGTCTTGCATTGTATACATAATACGAGGAATTGTTTGAGATGCGAGTATCACAAGACGAACAGCCCGGTTGTTTAACCGTGCTTAGGAGACACGCAGCCACTGCAACCGACACCAGCCACACCGACGAGTACAAGTATGATACGATCTCAACCATCACATCCTTCGCCACGCCGTTGAAAGTAAGGGCTTATGATTGTTTATCCGACGGCCAGCCCAGCCCATCCGAGGATTCAGGAGACAAGAATGGTGCCGGCGGTCCTAGAGCCAACATGTTCCACCATGCGCAGTACGGCAATTCTGCTGTGTCTCTCGTGCTGTTCGGGATCTGTAGTTATCTTATGATGCTACCGTTGCACGATAAAAGCCGACTTCGACTCCTCGCACTGCCACAGCCCATCCGGAACGTGACACGGAGAAGCGCTAGAGTTAAGTAAGAGACGGTAAGGCAATTCCAAATCATTTCGCCGTCGGGAATTCCCATCCGTCGTGATGATCACCGGCACTATAACACAGTAAGATAGGTTTCTGATATTATGGGAGGAGACACCGTGCCGTAATTTAATGCACAGTATGAATAGTACAGTACTCGTACGGTGCGGGTATATCATATCAGATTGCACTACGCGCCTCGCCCCAACCCCCACGAACAACGCCCCCGTCCCCAGGCACAACTCACAGATGCTACTGAGTACAGTACTCGTACAGTAGCATTACTCAGCCCCTTTCCCTTGGAAACCAGAAGCCCGGAAGTGAGCCGCACAGACGCTTCTCAATGACGCAATGTGCTGTGACATTCCAAATCATCCATCACCTCCGTCCGTTGCACCCGTCTGTCGCCTTTCCGAAAGGATGCACCCCAACTGATTCCGGCCACCGGTCTACGAGTACTCGAGTACCGGTATGCCCACCGCCGTACCCTTATATAACCCCCTCACGCCGACAGGCTGACCACTCTGACAACACCAATCTTCCCCTCCCTCTTCCTAACGCTCTCGACAACCTGAATGTTCCCGTCCCTCCTCTCCCGCTTCTTTCGTCCCTTCTCAGCCAGCAAGTTCACCGTGGGTCCTATTGGTAGCGGCATGTCCCTCCCGGAGACCACCGAAAAGGCTACATTCGCCGCTGGGTGAATATACCCCCCCCCCCCGCTAGTGTTTTTTAATACCGGTACTGATAATGTGTGGGGAAAAAAGCTGCTTCTGGGGTGTCGAACATCTCTTCCGAAAACACTTTGCAGGCAAAGGCCTGTTGGATGCTCGGGTCGGCTACATAGGTGGGGCTAGCACCCACCCCACCTACCATTCCGTTTGCTCCGGGAAAACTGGCCGTATGTACCTACCGACATTCCCTTCTTGCTCTCCCCTGCTGACATTACCAAAGACGCCGAAGCGCTCCAAATTTTCTATAACCCTTCGGCAATCTCTTACGAGAAGCTCCTAGAATTCTTCTTCAAGATGCACGACCCGGTAACGGTGGATCGTCAGGGACCAGATGTTGGATCTCAGTATCGCTCGGCGATATTCTTTCACAATGAACAGCAGGAGAAAGCTGCTAGGGAGACGCTGGAGAAGGTCGGGGCGCAGTGGTATAAGGTCGATATGGCGACGCAGGTGATCCCCGCTGGGGATTGGTGGGATGCAGAGGACTATCACCAACTCTATCTGGAGAATAGTGAGTCTTCCTATCCAGCTCGTTGGCCCCCGATAGGGAAGAGGGAGGGAAGGGTTCTAACACTTGGGTTACAGATCCAGGAGGTTATGAGTGTCCTTCGCAGTAAGTTTCCTGTTCACATGACTGTTTGTTGCGGAAAGAGGTGCTGATGAGGGTGTAGCTATGTTCGAGACTTTGAACCGCTTACTTGATTGGTTGGTTGTGAATTGCCAATCGGTGGATGGCTGTGCTTTGTGAGGTTGTTTCTCTTTTTTTCAAATATACCTGGTGACCAGACCAGCGTGAGCCTGGCTCAAGGACAGTTTCTTTGGGATGATGATGGGTCTTGGGCGCTGAAGTCTTGGTTTCGGTCTTTGTACACGAGTGATTTTTCATGAAATTTTGTTCCGGTTAGTCAGTGTTTTGCACAACGTGAGGGACCCAAACAAGCTAGGAATGCTAGAAGGAATTGTCGATTGTTACTTGGCTACAGTAGCTAATAGGTTCGAGAGAAGAAGAAGAAGAAGCGGGTGGGGCTAAGTTTAGACCTCGCTCCTGGTTGTTGATCGGAGGTGGAGGATTAGTGATTATTCGTGAACGAGCAAAGCCTCTAAACATAGCATAACAACACTAGGCTACCCTCCCTCAGCCCCTTGCTTCGAATCCACCAGTATGCCCATCCACCCCCCAGGAAGGAGCCTTGCATCCCCTCTTCCATCTTCACCCTCAACGGGACATTCTCAAAATGCCACAGAGTCAATCAGGATTTCCACATAATCCCCTTATCCGAGGCCTTCCCTTTTATTATGAGAGAGGCCGGCTCCCCATCTCTCTCTCCCCCTCCTCCAGGAAACAAGTATAATGTCACACTGATGATGCCAAGTGCTTTTCTTTCTCGGCAAAGGGAGAGTTTGATCGCCCGTGGTGTTTGATAACTATGCTATCGTACTCGAGTAGTGGCGGGTGGGGTACGGTTTTGCCAATGGGGGGGGAGAGTGATAAGGTATGAAAGGAGAAGAGAGTAGAGAACTGGCGGGGGTTTTTTTTATTTATAGGACAGGGTAGATCAGAATCCAAGCAATATAACAAACACCGTATACATTTTTGTTCCCTGGCGAAAGGTAGAGATCGTGAGGAGTGCTCGTATGATACAGTATTGAATATAATAGAAATTCTCGGGGGCGGTTAATTGGCGTATGATACGGTATTATTTATTACATTTCTTCCCTGATCGGGTGTGGCAAGTTGGGGGTGCCAGGTCTTGGTTTCGAGGTGCAATACTCGTAGTCCATCGACTAAAGATGCATGCTTCCATCCCTTCTCTAGGGATCTTGACGGGGAGTCCTCGTCCACTTTTGTTATATACTGTATACGGCTTTTGGGGGAAGGTAATCATCACGGATGGTATTATGGTGTGATCCCCCAACCCCACCCCCGAAAAATCCGTCTGGCATCATAGTGAACAGTAGACTATGCCATGCGAAGTGAGGGAAGATTTTTACAACTAACTAGCTGAAAGGAGTTCCCGGAATGGTGGATATCATACATTGGCAGTTGGGCCTGTCCTCGGAAATTCTTTAAAAAAAAAGGAGGTATAATACTCTTCCTACTCGTACGGCACCGGCATATCATTTCGCCCTGTTAACACATCATAACTCGGACACATTTCTCGGACACATTTCTTTAACCAATCTATCTCTCTCGCATTATATACACCGCTTTTAGAGATGGGGTTTACCGAGGTCAGGACGTTCCCTTTGGCGAACGGGTTACTCGCCAAAATCCAAAATCCGTCTCCGTGGCACGGCCGCCACTGGCAGCCTTGACGATGGGGGAGTTGTGTTGGTGGCTCTGGTTCGTAAATCAAACACCGGTAGGGGCCAGCGCCTCTGGGTGGTGTTGAGAGGTTATGATATGAAAAGCAAGGGCAATACTTACAAGCAAGGTGTGGTGGACCGGTTATTTGTGTGCGGTGCATGGGCAACATTGGGGACAAAAACTCTTAATTCTGGCCTGTGCTTGCGCATCCTTACCCAGGCGGGAGCAAGAAGTGTAATCCTACGGTATTCCAGTACCACGACACGGCCCGCCCTCACTTGCATGTTTCACACCAAAAGTGTCATTTTTCCCCCCACCCCGGAAGACAACAACCTACCACCCATTCCCACGCAATCCTCCAAGTGGGAGAATTCACTCGCTGCAGGCAGCATATTGGGAACACCTGGCGTCGGAAGTCTCCCAACCAAGCACCCCATCTGATGGGTGTCTGTGCGGACTTTTTCCGATTTTTCTGAAATTCACGATTCCTCTGCACGGAATGGTCTATCGGGGAAGCCTAGCTCAATTGGCGAAACAACGCTCCGACTTTAGATCCCCAGATTCCCAGCCACTTGGGAATGTATTTATATGTAACACTTAACGGGAGGGTTGATATGGGAAGCGTGAGATTGGGATGGTCTCACCTCCTTTTTTCGGCGTTTCGTGCGGTTTTGTTGCCTTGCTAAATCTGTGGGGTGCGATATATAAGTATTGCCAACGGCCAACCGGCGATGGACTTTGTTCAAGGATAGTCTACCGCGGACTACTGGACTTCAGCGGATTGTCTTTGCCATTATATGGATACTGACTTCAACATCAGTGGCCTCCCGCTCCGATACGTATCGTATCAGCCCACGTTCTGGGCGCGGTAGCCACTGCCCTCAGTCGTCCGCTTTGGCACAGCACACTACTTTCCCCGAAGCATGTGAGACCGCCATCACAAAAGAAAGGAAAGGAGATGCACATTCCACAACTCTACCCCCTATCCTGCGCCCTAGAAGTTCTCCCCTCCTCTTCCCTCGTATTATACCCCAGCTAACCTCACCCCCGGGGCAAGGCCCTCCCTTCGACCCAACATTCGGTGGGGACTCAGCCTTCGCCGAAACCAAGCGCAACTTTCGCCCAGGGAGACCCTTCTCCCGAGCACCATCCAGATTCTAGACCAGCTAATCGAGCGTGTCCACACCCAGTACCGCGCTTGTGATCGCGACATCGTTAAGAATGCTCTCCTGACCAGTATGAAGGAGCAGAATGAGGTTCTGTGTTATGACCTCCTAGCCAGGAACGTTAAGGAAATGCCGCCGGCCAGGGGGGGGGGCTATCAGGGATTACCCGAGGATGTTTCGGAGGCCGGACGACGAGTTTTGTTTTCCCCTGCACCAGTTTTTGTGGGGCATTGGGGGGAGGGAGAGGGTTGATGAAGTTTAGTGTAGTTTCAAATAGAGAGGAGGTGAGTGGTCATCAGTCAGGTCTGAGAAAGAGGAAGAGAGGCAAGGGCTAATGCCGAGGGAGGGGGTGTAGATTCCAGGGATTGGGATTAGTATTGCAAAGCTGGTGCTTATGACATTGTGTGGTGGGGTATGCATCGTTGGTTGGGATTTGCGCTAGAGATGTAGTCGAACTGGTATAGGTGTGATGTCTGTGTTGGATAGGTGCGTCCAAACAGGTAACTTATTCACCGGCGTCCCGTGGTATCAGGTATTGGGCGTGGAGGACTCATAATGCAGCTTAGAACCCTTCCAGTAGTCCTCGACTGTGGAACAGACGTACTGCAGACCTCGATTTCACCCTCCCTGGACCCAAGGCCAATAAAATAACACTAACCAACCACAGAACCCGGATCTCCTCGGCGATGAACCCTACCTCGGCCTCCGCCAACTCCGAGTTCGCGGAAGAGAATATGATTCCCCTTTCCCCCTTCGTGCTATGAACTCCCCCTTGGGCCCTCGCTCGTATATTTGGTGGCGGGCGACTTTGTAGACACCTTCGTAGAGGCGGTTCGTAAACTCTTCCCCAAAGCCACCCTCCACTTTGGGGACTTTGGCCTAGGGAATGCAGGGAGGCTGTTGGAAAAGCACAGACCGGAAATGGCCTGCATTAACGACGATATTCAGGGAACTGCCATCATGACTATGGCCGTTATAACTACGGCGGTATGGGTAGTAAAGGTGGAGTCGCTCGACCTGTGCACTCTGGTATACGGTGTAGGGACTGCAGGGACTGATATGGTGTACCGCTCATGGCCCTAGGAACGAGGTGCTGGGAAGGGTTGATAGACATCGCAGATCAATTTCGCGACGCAGTGATTGAAGGCGGGAAATCTAAAGAGGAGGCAATTAAACAGATCTGGTATCGCCTCCCTAAAGCCACGCTTGCTTCAGAAAACATGATACTAACCCGACTTCTAGGCTAGGTTAGTGGAAAAACAAGGTCTCCCCTTGCGCTCATGCTCTTCAACTCTAACCCTGGCGCAAAAGACCTACACCGCTACAGACCCCAACTTCGCCTCCGTCGACATGGCATGCCCCTCGGACGTGCTCGCATAGACCGATGGGAAAGCGCTGCTAGCTACCGGCCCGCCCTTCCCCCCCGTCATGCTCGGAAAAACCAGGAAACCCTATACATTGCCGAGTGCAATAACGCTACCGCCTTCCCCGGCATCGGTCTCGGTGCTGTGCTCTCACGCACGGACAGGATCTCGAATAGGATGCTTCTTGCCGCGATTAGGCGCCTCGCGGAGGACGCGCCTACGCTGAAGGATCCGGATGCGCCACTGTTGCCCGATGTGGCAGATATTAGGGAGGCTAGTAAGGATGTGGCTTACGCGGTTATTAGGAGTGCGGTGGGGGAGGGTTTGTCTCGGTTTGCAGGAATTCCCGAGGGAGAAGAGGGTGAATACTCGAGTAGAGGTCGAAGATGTGAGTACTCGTAGAGATGCAGATGTGGGAGCCTAAGTGCAGGGCATCGAAAAAAATCAGGCCTGTTGCGAACTCCAGGGCGGCAAAGGATGAGTTAGGGGTTGGTAGGAGGGCGTAGAGGGTTAGGGTGTGTGGATACCGGTTTGGGTTTGGCCTGGGTTCACACGGATTTAATTCGAACTCGGCAGGCGGGAGTGTAGGGATGCAGAAGCGCCGTCACTGCCGACACCCACCCGATATCAAACTAGGTTAGAGAAAAAGATGGAAAGGAAAGGAAGCATCCCAAAAAGATGGCGCCATCTGTGAAGGAGAACAGCACTCGGATGCGCAAACGATAAGCCAATTTCTCCACACACACCCACCCACCCATGAATTCATCGCGAGCAACAGCGAAACGGATGGTTTCCCCGCCCCGGAGGAAACACTCATTACCTCCGCCCCATCATTACGATCACCGAAGCCAAACCCATTTCCATTCCTCCAAATCTGCCCCAGCTCCTACCAGCACCAACACCACACAATTCAACCGGCACCCCCAACCAACTCCAACAAGAAGGAACCAACCAACAGCGCAACACAAAAGTGCATAACAATCAGGATGACCTATCACGGGTCGCGTCGGAGAGGCAAACACCTGCGGGATGAGGTTTTCCCCTTCCTCTTCCATGCACCCGAGGGGCCGGTTCATCTCTTTCCACCCCCTTCTGGATACCGTAGTCCACATGACAAACAAGTATACCGAGTGATGTACCGTGATGGACATCAACTCTGTTGCAAGATGGGGTAATTTGTCACTGTTACGCCTGCCGCCGACCTTATACACCCGAGCCTTTTTTTTCTTCTTTTTTTTCTTTCCGCTGCCGTGGGGGTTGGTTACGGCAGATAGATACGTAGTTTGCTAAGGGATCTAACTTGGAGCTCTACGGGTGTCGTAAGGAATTACTCTTTTTTATTATTCCTATTATCATTATCATTACTACGCTAGCAAGCTTCGGGGACTTACTGGTAGGTACAAGCGGCCGCCCTGGTGGGCCCGTCCGCCCGTTTCTCCCGCCAACGGGGTGAGGCTTCCAAATCGCAAGCCCTCAGTGGACGGGCGAGTACAGTGCAGCGCAGTGCGGTGTCATACCATACCATCAGGCGATGGTTGAGGCCAATTTGGGCTTGGTACCAGGATTTCCCCGATCACCCCTGCGATACCAATGATCAAGACGACAGTCCGCAGAACTGGAGTGTATTTTCTCCGGATTTAGAGCAAACGCTGTTTGGAAGGTTTTTTTTCTTCCTTTTTTCTCTTGGCCCCTTGCCTTCTTCTTCTTCTTCTTCCTCTTCTTCTTCCCGAAGTACGTACTCCACGAGCAGCACTGTAACCCACCCCTGC